CACACACACATTCTCTCTCTCTCTCACGCACACACATACTCACACACGCATGCACACACACATACACACACACACACACACACACACACACACATACACACACACACACACACACACTCACTCACTCACTCTCAGAGAAGTGTACGAAAAATTAAAGAGTACAAATCTTGGCACCAAAACTTATAAACAAGGCTGCTCTGGGTAGATTGTGGGTTAGTTCTGTTTGAGTCCCAAGTGTTTTAGCAATGTTATTGACTTTTAATGGTGATGGTTGGAGGACTTTTCCTGCAGGTCCTGTTTCTTTCTTTCTGTTTGTTTCTCAAATTTATCTCTGTCTACATTGCATTTCTCTTACACTGATTGAACATTATGGTGCCGATGAGCCTCTCTTTCAATTGTGGGTCTTTACCATCTTCCGTCATCAGGTATGCCCATGTGGGTGGTTGGCTGGTGTTGTGATGTTGCTTATCAAATGTCTATCGTTCCTTTCTTTCTTCGTTCTTTTTCTTTGTCTTGTTACTATCTAGTAACACCTCTAATCTTCGGCATTGACATGATTGCGTTGGAAGTGCTGTAAAACTCTCACTAAAAAACCAAAAAAAAAGAAAGAAAGATGTGCCCATGGAAATAGCAGAGGACAAACATACACTCAGATACTCAGTGTTGTTGATGGTGAGTGAGCATTCAGGTGTAATCTTCTGTATTTTTGTTACCCTGACTGATTCCTTGCAAAATGTGGCCTTTGAAATATCGTGTGTCGCTGGAGGGCGCCATCAGTAGGTCCTACTTCTTTTCTTTCCTTCTGCTATCTATGTTTGTTCTGTTGTCTGTCTTACTTATTTTCTTGCTCTTGATGATGGTTATTGTGTAAACATGCATCTACAGTCAAACCTGTCCTGACGGCTACCTGTATAAGACAAGTACCTGTGTTTTAATGGCCGTTTTCCATTTCATGTGTCTTTTTTCTATATATAATGGCCTTTCCTAAAACGATAACTTCATAACCTGTCCAACGTGGATGCAGCCACTGTATTTTACCAACCAACAATCAAAAGAACTCGTCCAAGATAGCCATCTACATTTCTTATCACCTGACATGTTGCCATAAATTTGGCCCCTGACACTGTGTACAAGCCATTGTAATCTATTCACACGATGTTTTATTAGCCTGTCATATGAAGGAACCAATTGCTGACCAGCATGTTGCAAATGCACGGGTTCTGGTCTGCTCACTGTTTACCCAAGTTGACCACTTGGGAACATTTTAATGGGTCTTGCAGCTGTCCAAAGTCTGTGATTGCCTCTGGTCCTGAAGGGAATTGTTTTTTGGTGTTTTTATTTTTAAAATTTGACCAGTCCTGCCTAAGACGACCGCCTGTTTAAGACGGCCACTTTTGTTTATGATAATGGGAGCTGTCTTTGATAGTTTTGACTGTTTACACCAACAAGCATCATGCCTACTTTGTGCACATAGCTGATTGCTCTGTGATTGATGACACTCTTCTCTTTTTGATAGCGGGTGGTTGGAAGGCACCACTTTCCCTCTGTTGTTTCTGTCTGTCTGTCTTACTTTCTCCCAGCACTAAATGACCATCATTGTGTCGATGTGCTTCTCGTTACAGTCAAACAAACATCTCTTTTTTTTTTTTTTACTCAGTTCATAGAAAAGTTCAAGGAGATCAAAGAGCTGACCCGACAAGCGGCCCAACTCAAGCAAGGGGACGTGAATGGCGCAGTGGACAACCACGCCCCCTCCCCACAGATGGGACGTCAGCATCTGCATCAACGCACCAACAGCCTGTCCTCTATACAGGTGAGGGTTTCAACTCTGTCTGTTAGATGTTGCTTTGTTTGTGTTGAATAGTACTTCCTTTGTCATTGCTGACAGTATGCTGCGCTGGTGGTTACTGGATGCTCTGGTGTGATCTGTACTAATGAAATATGGCCGGTTTTGTTTTAGAGGGACTCGCCTGTAACTGTAAATAGAACTCAGAAACAACTACAACATTGGTGCACCTTCTTATTATTGTTGAGTTGTCATTGTGAAAGACTGTTCTTTCCCATTGTCTTGTCATCAATTTCATTATCATCAAAACATCACCATCATCATCATCACCATCACCATCGTCATCTTCATCATCATCATCATCATCACTGCCTTTCTCTCCCTGCATCAGAGTATAAGCCACAAACTAATAATTTCCACCCTTCCTTATCCTGGGCTAACCTCTTGATATTATTCCATGCCCATTGTTTAGTGGTTTCTATTTATTGTGTTTTTTAGTTTGAAGAATCATGACAATGGAGTTTTTAAATGTGCTTTCTGTCCTCTGCAGAGTGACTCTGGCAATCTGCGAGAACGAAGGAACTCATTCACTCAGGGAGGCAGCAATGGTCATCCAGCAAATGCCCCCACGGAGGCCCAGCTCAAGTATGAGAATGACCGGCTCAAACTGGCCCTGGCACAGAGGTAAAGCTCACTACAGGATGAGATAATGTATTCATAGTTTGAAAAGTTTGTTACATAACTTAAACGCTTGGGAATAAATCATGATCAGAATTTGTTTTTATTGATCAAAGGTTCATGTTTGTCTTAAATGCATTTTATGCCTTAGATGGTCTATCATCTATATTTATATTCTTTTTTCAGAGTTGGAGAACTCTTTATTGCCAATAATGTTTGTTATTGGAATTTTAGAATGTAGTACAGTCGAACCTGCCATGACGGCCACCTCTATAAGACGGCCACCTGTACAAACAGCCACTTTCCATTTCCCCCCTTGCGTTTTTTCTATACAATTTAACTGTGTAAAACGGGCACCTGTCCAACGCGGCCGTGGCCACCATATTTTAACACACAACCCTTATCACACAAAGCAATAACCCGTGTCTAAGACGGCCACCTTAGTGACTCCATTACGTTTTGTCATAAATTGTACTTTGGCCCCTGGTGTTTTGGCGAGCCGTCATAATTAAATCACCTGTCGTTGTTGTTAGGTAGTCCCTCCAACCGATCATGTTGCGTAGGCCCCCCAATAGGTAACAAATTTTCAGCTGCCATTGAGGTAAGCGTGTGATCCCTCATAACCTATAAGCCCCGCCCAGAACTCATACACAAATCGTAAGTGAGATGAGTGGTCACTGTTTACCCAGTCTGTAACAAAGTAACAATGGACGTCAACATGAACTTGAGACAAAAGCGTCGCTCGTTCTCCGAGTGGTGGCGACCCATGTGTTTGTTTTACCATAGCACTCGGTCCTCCCTGTCTGACACATTTCGTTTTTTTTGTCACCCTTGCACGAAAGCAGCAACAAAAGAAAAAAAGAAGAAAAAAACCCAGCGAAAACAACAATAACAACAACAACAACAACAACAACAACAATGCGGCTATCTTCGGTTGAGACCTCAGAAAGAAAGGGTTTGTTTTCTTCATCTTGATCAGTCCTGCCTAAGACGGCCACCTGTCTTATACGGCCACTTTTCTCCTTGACAATGGGTGGCCGTCTTACACAGGTTTGACTGTACTAATGTAAGTTGATACATTTATCTGACATTCATACACCTGAGAGTGCATGTAACTGTTCACTGTCATTATAAATAGATACAGCCAACATCATAATTTTTGCTATCTCCTCCCCCCAGTTCTGCCAATGCCAAGAAATGGGAGGTAGAACTCCAGACCCTGAAGAACAACAATGCCCGATTGACGGCTGCTCTGCAGGAAAGCACAGCCAATGTGGAGGAGTGGAAGAAACAACTCGCTGCTTATAAAGAAGAAAGCGCCAGATTAAAAAAGCGGGTGAGAACAAAGTGATACAATACCTTTGTTTCATCTGACAGAATATTCCAGATTGTTGAGTCGGTTATGACTCTAGTGTGATTTGATAATAAAAATACAGTGGAGTACGCTTAAGCCAAAAACGTTTAATTGGAAAACAGTTGTGAACTGAAAGGAAATAAAATCCTCAAATTTTTCTTTTTCTTCTATCATTTCTCTCTAAACCAAAAACTGGACTAAAACAGAGAAAATCCGGCTGTCCGGCAGATTTAGGTTTAAGCGAACTCCACTGTAATTGCATTTACATGTACATAGCGTATATCCACTCTCAACAGCATGCTCTATGCGTTTTACAACCCTTATTTACTACTTCCACTTCACTTGAATGTGGTTGTCTCCTTCCATTTTTCTCATTGCGACTGTGATATTAATTTACTAGTGACTTGGGTTTGTAATCATGCCAGCGTCTGTAAAATACAACTTCCAGGTGGTTGGGGGGTGCGACTGGAACATTCTAATTTTTTACTCTCATCCTGTTTTTTCTGTTTGTCTGTCTTGTCGTTTTCTTATACTAAGTGACTAGTTATTGTATGTGCTTCTCTTTACTCTCACTAAAAAAACCCACTACAACTTTACAATAGAAGAGAAGTGGCGTCGATGGCCTAGCAGTTAGGCTACCGGACTCGTAATCGTGAGGTTACGGGTTCGTGGGTTCGAGCTACGGGCCTGACGTTTTGTCCTTGGGAAAGGCACTTTACACGAATTTTCCTCACTTCACCTAGGTGGAAATGGGTACCCGGCCTTAGACAGCGAAAGATCTTGTCAGTATGTTAGTGTTTTAGCGCTTATAAATGGCCGCTTGCACTGTATGCTTCCCAGGAAGTTGAGATTGTTTCAGAATGCTCTCTGGTCTGCTGGGGTAATAGTATAGATTGTAAATCGCATAGAGCTTGCTGATGAGCAGGGATTTGCGCTATACAAATGCTATCTATTATTATTATTATTATTATTAGATAGCCTAGATAGCTTGTCAGTTCTCCCTAACACCACACACACACAGTGAGGTCCTAGCCTGTCAGTTGACCTTTCTGGTTTATGATTTTTGTTTTGTGTTTTCTGTCGCTTCTCTCGCTATGCTGTTGGGTTTTTTTTTTGTCTTTGCTGTCTTAACTCTGTCTTTACTCTTTTTACCTGTGCTTTTAAAAAAATGGATATGTGCTCACACACAAACACACATACTCACAAGCATGTTCACTGTATTCAAGTTTTTGATGAAAGCGCAGTGCATGCTTGGGAAAATAAGTATTCAGTTGCAACATGTTGTAAAGAACTACATAAGTTGCCAGAAAATGTTGCACTTCGCAGCTTAGCTAGGGATGTTACTTGTTACAAATTTCCAACACATTGGGACATTGTGCTTCAATTCAACAAAAGGCAAAAAACTACCCCAAAGACTAAATGATGACCCTCTATGTGTCCCTTAACCCTACAGTTACTGGACCAGGAGAAAGGCGGTGGAGGTGAGAGCCATATGGTGGCCCAGCTGACCGACCAGATTGAGCGCATACGCCTGGATAACCACAACAAGCAGGAGGTGAGGCTGATGAGACCGTGTTTTAGTAAAGAATATTACAGCACTTGCAGCACAATTAGGTCATTTAAGTGCCGAAAAATAGAAGTGTTACTACTATCGAGTAACATACAAAGAAAAGGAGGAGAGATCAGGATGATAGATGATTAATTAATAGAAAAGGAGCAAACCATGCCAGAGCACCCGCAGGAGAAAGTCTTCTTCTTCTCAATGGCGTCATACTTGAAGACCAGTATCCATTATATTATACTAGGCCATCCTGTAAAACCCCTCATTTGGCCCGCACAGCTTTTCCTGTAATGTTGATGGGGTTGACCACCTTCTCATGTCTTAGGGCTCTGTGTGTCCTGCACTGCTGGAGGATATATTCCGCAATTTGGTCTTCTCAACACTGACATTGTTGGGGAGAAACACGTGTCTGACTTTGATTTTTCCAACAGTGTGATCTTTTGTTGCTATCTGAAACACTGTGAAATGGTTAAAGCATGGGGAAGTCTGAAGTTGGATTGGTAGTACTGAGGTTGTTGCCAAGTAAAGTAGAGGCTGCCCTGGCTGTATGCTGGCTGTAATTATACTGATTCGTGATAAAACTGGCTGAAATTTTCCTCAGAAATCCGTGTCTCTCATTTTTAATTCAGAAGTGGTGATGGTCATTGTCCATGTGTATTGCTGTAAGATGAGCCAGGCCTGAGGCCTGAGGTATACATTGTCTTTTGTTTTGAAAGGACACTAGACTTTGAAGTGGTTCATCATTCTTTAATGAGAAGCGTTTTTTTGCTGTGTATTTTACCAGTCTGAACTGCAGATAATTCGTAATGAAACAAGTTGAACAAGGCGTATTATTCAGAAGAAATTTGATCAGATTTTCCATTGGCTGAAATTTGCATACTGACAATAGGATGCACAATGTAAAATTGTAAAAAATTTAATGTGATCAGATATGGAATGGAAGTTTTGATTTTTAGCCTTGTTTTTTAAGGACTGTATGCCAACCTTATTGACTGTAACAATGGCTGTGGATACTGCAGATAACGTTCAAGGTCCAATGCAGCAAGACAATTCAAAATGTGTCGCAGAAGGAGAAATGGTTCATGGGAAGGAGAACATCCTTTAAAAAAAACATGTAGGCTTGAAGTATAAATATAAATGATTCTATTCAAATTCTTGGAAATGCCCCTTTTCATCTAAAGTTTATTAGATCTCTTTTTTTGCACTGCTGCTCTCTTTGCCACTTTGAAGACCCTGTCTCCTTCCTAAAACGAAGATGCCATATATTGTTCGTTTGAGGACTAGAAGTCTGGAATCTCTAGCGCACAGCAGGATATAAGGGACAAGTTTGGACCGTAACTTCTAGTAAATGGACAAGATAGCTTTATGTTATCCTCAGCACTAGTGACTAATAAATGTATTGCATTAGTTTGAATTGTTTGTTGCATGTGGGATGATTTCTAAAACTGCTTTTTTCAGCTTTCCAGTGTTACCCAATTCTAGAATATATATTTGTTAGGATTCAAGGAGATACATTAATCGTATAATCATCATGGTGAAAAGTTGAGTTTTTCACTTTTATTGTCTACATGTTTTTTTTACAAAGGTAATCATTTTTGTTGTTGTTTTGTTTTTCCCATCTTCTGCTACGGATTGTTAGGAGATCAAGAGGCTGAACAGCCAGTTGCAGGAAGTGACGGCCAGAGACACTCAGAACTCAACTCTCCAGGCCCGGATACAGGTGGGATTTACTGTTTACTGTCTGGTCAGACTGTGTTGAGGACATTGTGGTGGCCCAGGGTCAAAAGGTTTTGTGTGCTACAATTAAAATTAGTCACTCATAGAGCACTTTGTCTTTGGGGCAGCTCTTTTGGAGTGTTACCACTCACCAGTCGTCCCTTCAAACTTTGCGCCATACACATTTATCTTGATCGTTCTTTGTCTTTCTTCATAACTTTCAAAATAAAAGCCTTTTTTTTTTTTAGCTTTTAAACGAAAGTCTTTAGATTTTTATGTACCAATCCCTTTTCATTGTTTCCCCCCCCCCCCCCCCCCCCAAGATGAGTTGAAAATTTGCAAAATATGAAGATATAAAGTGGATGGTTTGAGATCATCACACTGATGGGTCTTATTTCTTAAATTTCCCTTCGCTGTTTCTGTCTGTCTGCCTGTCTTACTTTTCCCTGGTACTGAATGACCATTATTGTGTTGATGTGTTTCTCTTTACTCAAACAAACAAACACACAAAAAATTAAATAAAAACTAATGTGCATGAAAAACATGCTGAGTTTTAAAACAGAGTGCCTGATTATTTTTATGCAGGCATTAGAGGAAGAAAACCATTCACTGAACCTGAGACTGCAGGACTCTCAAAGGCAGTTGCAAGATGGGCGGTCGTCGAGGGACCAAGAACACAGAGAGCTGCTCAGTCTGCAGGAGGCACTTGGCGGTCGCATCCGGGACCTGTACGAGGCACACGAGACCGTTGTGGCCACACTGAAGAAAGAGTCCAACAGTTAGGGTTTTGTTCCGGGGAGAGGTGGGCGACGGGTGTGGGAGGGGCGTGTGTGATTGGGTTGACGACTGGGGAGAGGTGGGGGACGGGTGTGGGAGGGGCGTGTGTCTGGGTTGACGACTGGGGAGAGGTGGGCGAAGGGTGTGTGGGAGGGGTGTGTGACAGGGTGGAGCAATAGTATTATTTATGAGTTGGTGGGTAGAACTAGAAGTAATAGAAGCAAGGATTTGGTTGTGAAAAGTGGAACATATTGTTGTTGTAGGTGGTTGTTGTTGCAGTCTTTGGGTAATAATATTCATACAAGCGATAATTTACATAGACTGATTTTTGTTGTGTGGCTTAACTTGCATGTATAAAGTAGTGCCAGGGCATCGTATTAGTGTATTTTGTCCTAGGCAGGGTGTTACTCATTCTGCTGAATGAGGTAGGATAAGAGTGAGAGTTTGGGAAAAGGTTTGTCATTTTCATAATTGTTTTCAGAGGAATATTCTTGTGCTGTGATCTTTGGGACATAGTTTTATTAGACCTTTATTCTGTTCAGATTCTTAAGGACAATTTTTGGTGCAGTCTCAAGGGGATTCAACTGTGGCATAAATCACTTCTGAGCAACTGTTGAAAGCGCAGGGAGGGAGGGGGAGGGGATGGGAATGCCTGCTTTTGAAGGAGATATGGTGTTTGCCTCTCATTCCAAGGTACATAATTTATATTTACAAAGTAGGCAGATGACTTTGGAGGTTTGTTTCTCAGTCATTTCGCTTCCATGGTCATAGAGGACATGGGGTCTTTTGGTTAGGTGGAATGATAGTAGCGGTCATTGTACTTGTAAAAGAAATGGACACCTTGGAAGTTGGAGAAGAGCAGGCATATCTAAGTCAGCCGCTGGTGCGAAGTTCAAATTTTAGTCTGTACCTAAAGTAGGAGAAATTGACTATTGAAAGTACTTTTGAAAGTGGAATATGGCTGTCAGAAAGGCGAAGAACACTTCTTTGTAGACTGAATATAGAAATGTACTTAAATATCAGTTCAGTGCAGGTTGACATGTCTGTTGTTGATTGTCACTAAATTTTAGCATGGAGAAATCGCAGAAGAAGGAAAGACAATTGTACACTATAAAAGCTAATCAGGAGGCCAGCTTCATCTGTTGTGCTGAGTGAGCAATTTAGTTTTTGACAGGGGTGTAAAAATGAGTCACTTATGCAGTGGTAGATATTAAAGAGCAGTCACTGATGTTTTGCGCGCTGTTTGTGTTTTACTAAAAACTTGATAAAGAGATCTGTGAAGTTGAATGCTACATTTTTTTTTTGGGACAGGTATTTTAATTCTCAATAAATCTGATTGTGATGATTTTGGTCAGAAAAAGAATATTTGCTTTTGGAGACTTGTGCTGTTTAAGTCAGCCCAATGTGAAAGAAACGTCCATGTCTCATGTAAGGTTTAGAGAAATAATCTTTTGCTTGGATTTTTTAATAGAGTATTGTAACTTTTTTGTTGTTGCAATTTATGGTATTTTTCTATTTGTATCACATTTTTTTCTCAATGAATCTTGCAAGGGATATTCTTATGGGTTCTTTCTTTAAACTGACATCTTTTTCCGGGGCTAGTTTTTATGATAGTTTTGTGAGTCATTGGTCAATCAAGCTTAGGAGAAAGAATAATAGAATGTGTGGCCTGTTTTACTAGTCTTCTTTGGAAATTCATTGTCACAATAAAATGGCAAACTGTGTTGTTTTATATTATGTGAAATATATTGAGTATAAAGAACTGAAAGTATTGATCTCAGTTTGAGACTTCTATTATGTTGCCGAAGTGGGTAGATATGGAGCTCAGTGGTAGGCGTTGTGATTGATTGACGTGGTTGTGATAGATGTGAACAAAGTAATGAAGGGCTGCAGATACCCAAGTTTTGTTACACACTTTTTGGTGCTGATATTTTTGTCATTATGGTTTTGAGTTTGGATGTAAATGTGTGTGTGTGTGTGTGTGTGTGTGTGTGTGTGTGTGTGTGTGTGTGTGCGTGCGCGCGTGCGTGAACAAGAGCAAGAAAGTGTATTTGTGTGTTTGAAATAGTAGATATGCATTTGTGTGCTAAGAATTTGATTGGCCATGTGTGCATGTGGACTTGCATGTGTGTGTGTGATTGTACAACAGGTTATATGTATGTGATTGACTACTCAGTGTAAGATTCTGCCACACATCATTTTGAAAAGTGACATATGTGACAGAGTTTTATTCCGAGCCGTCGACATACTCCTGTGCTGTATTTGTGTGATTGCCTGATTGCTTGCATGTTTCTGAGAGTAGATTAAATCTATATAAATCTATTTATATATATATATATCTGAGTGGACTGATGAGCATAAGCACATAATGTGTTGTACTGGTTATAGCATTTATACTAACAATACCTCCTACAGCCCTCACGCTTGTGGTCCCTGTCATTTTGTCATCATCGTGGCCACAGTTTGTACTTAATGTAAATAGATTCTCATTTCTCACACTCACCTCGCATGATGCCTATGTCAGGGCTGCCAAGTGCTATGTGTTCCAAGAGACAGTAACAGTGATACATCTTTTGTCCTTTAGTGCCACATTTAACTCAAGTGTCTACCAACACACTTTTTTGTACGCCTTTTTGAAAGGAAGTGTTGTGGCTTCCAAATTCGCCTGTGGTAAATTATCTTGTGCTGAATACAGATTTTTTTCTTCTTTGTCATGGGATTACTGAATTCATATGACCTTCTTGAAAGTAACCTTTTCTGGAAGCGTTTTTAAGTGTAGATTCTGACCATAGACATTAACAAAGAATGTGTTTGAGGATTATAATAGGACCGCCAAGTCTGGCCAATGTGTCCTTTGTTTTTTTCCCTTTTGGCAGCTCTGCTATATTCATCTTGCAAAATCATCATCCACTATATCAAAGATGTATCTATTTTGTCAAACCTAACTTAATTTGTTTGTGTGATAAATGATTTGTGTTTGCAGTATAGTCTCCATTGTATAGCCTTTTTCAAATAATCTTTTAAGTCCTTGTTTTCTCAGAGCATAGCCTATGAGCATGAAGATGTAGTTGGCACAGTATTTCTGTTCTTTAGACAAGACAGTAGGTAGAGAATGCCAGTGGTGGGAGCCTCTTCCTTGTTTTTCCATCTTTGTGATAACCATCTTATATTTTCTCAGTACCACATGAACATTATTTGGCAAGGTGCCTTTCTTCTACCAAAATAACAAATGCATTTGTTGTCTGAAATTGTCTTCAGCTTGCTTTGTTTCAATTTTCTGTTTCCATATTTTGTTTTATTTGTTGCAAGAATAATAAGTAAGCTTTAGTATGCTTCCCGGGAAGCTGAGAATGTTTCGGAGTGTTCTATGGTCTGCTGGGGTAATAATATAGTGTAAAGCGCATAGAGCCTGCTGTTGAGCGGGGATATGCGCTATAAAAATGCTATCTATTATTATTATTATTATTTATTAGTGTTGGAGAGTGTGTAGCTCTTTTGTGGTTGGTAGCACAAGTTTTTCTGATTGGATTTTTCTTTGCACAACTCAGTTTAAATTGTTTGACACCTTTGTATTTGAAGCCGTTCACACACAGAGAGTTTGAAATCATTTGGGACACTCTCTTCCCTTACTTGACTCATCTCCTTTCCGTTACTTTTTTTAATCCTTTAAAAAAAAATTTTTGTTGTGAAATAATGTTTTTGTGTGGCTTTGTTACTTTTGGTGATCCGTAGAAGCTGTAGACTTTTGGTTCACTGTGTTCTTTCTGTCTCTGTTGGGTTTTTCCCCTTCCGTCTAAATGGCTGCCTTTTCAAGCTATCTACTCTTCAACTGTTTTGGAAACATTAGTTCTAGAGGCAAAGACTCGAGTTGGTCATAGGGAGAGTCCCATGGCACTGTTTGATTCAACTAGTGCCTATCATTCTCTTCCATTTCAGTGTGGACTCACTAGTTTGACCTTGGTGTGTATTTGATCGAAGTGTCAGCAAGAAATGTCGTGTTGAGCTGAATGATATGTCTGTAATTATGGCTTGAACCAGGTGCAATATTCATCCTAGGAGCAATATGCGATCGATCAAAAAAATCATCTCCCATTGTTGGAGCATTATTTTGTTTTACATTCTTGTGTTGACTTAAAAAGGCGCATAATTTTGCCTGCTGTGAGTTCATGTGTTAATGTTTGTATGTGCATACTTTTGGAGGATTCATGAGGCAGAATATTATCTTACCCTAATGAATGCAAGCATTGATTATGTCCTGTGGACTGGACACGTCCTTCTTTCTAAATTTCCTCTCCATTGCCCTATTATCTTATAGCAAATTACTCTTTAAGGTTAGGAACAAATATTTTTTGTGTGTGTGTGTTTGGCTGTCATTAGTGGCAGAACGGGTTTATAATATGTGAGAGTGCCTGGTGAAAGGTACCAAAAGATGCATTTGTTCGAACCGAGATATCAGGCTTCAAAGGTCAAAAAGAGAATTTTTGATAAAAACTAAGTTCCATTAAAAATGGATTCTTCAGCCATTAATATATCGATATTTACAAGGACTTGAGTTTCTTTTCATTTAGAATACATTTTTAGAGATGTTTTTTAACGCCAGGTATATTGCATAATCCCCAAAAATGCGTGAGAACATTGGTTTTCCGAGTAAACACTGCAGATGGTTTCTCTTGTCCATTCATAAAGTCGACCCTATCACAATGCGTACCAAAATTTTGGTAATTCAGTCTCCTCTCTAATGACGAGTAGTACGCATGAATATCTGGAACATGTAAACAAAGCGAAGCTTTGTGCATCGACACCCTTTCGGGGTTTTTTAGAGCAAACTTGTAATTGTATCGTCTGTTTCTGCCCTTTGCAAATTTCTAATTTCTTGAAAATTCTTGCTCCAGGTGGAGGTGAATTTGTTTTGAAGATGTAATTAAACACTTTGAAGCTGTTCTGTTATCTTAGCTGCTTTAAAAAGTTGGCCCCCCCCCCCCCCCCCCCCCCCGGGGCAGTGCCACTGACTGAAATGTCTTTAGGCCATTCCCAAAGGGGGAACATTTCTTGTTCTTATGCACTTTAGAATTGTAAATGGGCTGATTCAACAATGTCATGCTCATAACTGTGCTTGAACTACAACAGGGAACTGCTACTTTTTCTTTCCTAATCCTTACTATTGTCATTTTCCTCTACTTCCTTTGTATGTTTGTCACACTCTTGTGACCCGCTATTTCCGCGGTGCCTTGAAAGTCAAAACAGACTATGTGCTGCTAAAGCTAGAGAGGTGAGCAGAGTAAGCCTGATTCCCTGTAAAGACTTCTCTGTTGACATCCACCCCTTGGCGCTCATGTGACTTTATGCAGTTGCGAGCGCCGTGAAACCTCTATTAAATTATTTAAAAAATTAAGTTGGTTTGTGAGTTGCGAATGTGTTGTCAGGTCGTCTCGAAGCGTAAATTTATCTATTTGAAGAAGAAACAAAGGGGAAACTTTAAAACCATTTTTCTCAAAACTTTGTTTCCGTACCCTGCCTTACAAAAATCACCCATATCACTGAGGATATCTTTAAAATTCAAAAAGCATATTGTTCATAAATGATCTCTGTAAATGAAAATGCTTAAACCGGGATTCTTCAAAATGCGTCTTTTGGTACCTTTCACCAGGCACACACACATATTCTAGTCGTGAAGTGAACTTGCGCAGAGGTGAACAACTTGTGTTTCGCGCGCTCATATGACCTTAGCAGTTGCGAGCGCCGTAAAACCTTATACTATACTACATACTACTACTACACACATATTCTCTTTTACTGTCTTCACTGTCCCTCTGAAGATTTTTTTCTGTGTTTGTCTTTTTTGCTGTTGAGTGGATGTTTCTCTTTTTCACATGAACATAAAAAGTTGCCAGTTTCCTGCTCGCAATCGCAATATACAGTGTATCGTTCATAGTGAAGGAAGCCTGTCCTAAAGTATTATAATTAGGCTATGGTTTTAATACATCTTGTTGCTAGTAGGTTCAGGGGAGCACTTAAGTTTTATGCTTTGTGGGATGTTTGGGCTTTTTAACAAGAAGCGAAACACTGCCCACCTTCTTGCAAAATCTCCAGAAACTGTCTGGTGGTTGATTTCATTTTGTTGATACGTCACACATCAGTCTCTGACATTTTTGTGAGGTCTTTAATTGTTCTCCAAGAAAAATTCCTGCAATACTCGTAGAGAAAGTTCATTATATTGAAACTTATCAAGTATTTTTATTTGTTTTGAGCTGAAATTAGTGTTGCTTATAGTTACAATCATGGGATATAACGCATTAATGTTCTTCAAGTGTAGTTAGGTTGGGACTTCTGAACAAGATGTCTCATCATCAAGTAAGTCTTTCAAGTTTCTTTTACTTAAGAAAAGGTTTCCTTCTGGGTGGTAGAGGATCATCTATGCTTTTAAAAAAATCAAATACAGTCATGTTGGAGTAAAGGAATTTGAAGTCAAGAACTGATTCAGACAAAAAAAATTAGAAAAAAACTAACAAGAACAAGTGCAAATGCTGTCCACTTTATACTGGATTATCTTCTTGGGTTTGTTGTTTTTTTTCATTCTGTTTTCCTTTTTTCTTATTTTGCTTTCCTTTTTTTTTCTGTGTATTTGACTGTTTATGTTTGCTAAAGCATAATATGTTGTAACAAAAGTAAGGGTTTGTACTTATTCTAGAAATTCAATGATTATGTTGATAGTCAAGGTTGGTCATTTGGTTGTGAGATGAGACACATTTTTCACTGATTTTTAATGTGTCAGTTGTGTCATTTTTGTTGTTTTTCACCATCTTTTGTTTGCATAGCTCTCCACAGCAGCATTGCATGCCTAGCCACATCATCTTTTTGTATTGCATAGATTTTCGTTTTGAGTGGTCATTCTTGTCGTTTAGACAGGAGACAGGAGCGACTGTGAGATGTTTGTCTTTTTGAAGAAAAAAAGTGGCTTCCATCAGCACTTGAGTACAGTACTCACGCTCAGTGCGTTGTTCAATATTATTATCTGAGTGCTATTAACCTCAAAGAACAACTGTATCTTTATACTATACACATAACTGTAGCCTCATATTTCTTATACATTTTATTGCCATTATAAAAACTAGTGTGGTATACTAAATCTGAGAGGTTTGTATTTTCATTATGTTAATTTAGAAAACTAAGTATAAATTATAAAGAGAGTATTTTTGTTGTTGTATTAAGTATATACTGCAAGAGTTCATTATCATTAACTGGGCACATTTTGTGAGATTCCACAAGGTTTCCCAACTGTGACTGACTTGCTCATTCCATCATGTCTACTCAAGTCATTTTCAAATCGCCAACAGATTTCAATGAAACTTGTTTTTGAGGAGGTTTGGTTCCTGTCTTGCATATATAGGTTCAATGATCATTTGCTTCTCCTTCCTTTGCAAAAATGTATCAGTCTTGTGGAAAAGGTCATTTAAAAGAAAACATGAGAGGCTTTTTTGACATTTTGTGACTTAAACAATCATGAAGGCCTATGGTTTATTTCTAGAACATGTACTTTGTCTCAAAAAATAATGTTGGTACTAGCCGTATGTTCAACTTGTATGATGCCGGCATGCTTTTATGCAAGGACTGTTTGCCCCAGTTTTGGAATTTTGGGCTTAGATTTTTTTTTCAATAAAGAAGACAGACTTCAATGGATAAAGTCACTGTGGTACATCAATAGATATACGAACATTTCAGTATTCTCAGCACTGTGCCTATTAAATTCACCAAAGATGTATACAGTACTGTTCTCTCGTTTCCATAAGAGAACCACACATTTTTGTGCTCCCATGAATGTGTGAACTTGTTCTGTAAGAGGTTTTGGAAAGTACAATGCAGTGAAATGAATGACTCTAAAATGTCCTGCAAATACAGATTCCATAAGCAGAGAACACTGACATAGTAGCTCTTTGGTCCTGTTCAGAAGTATAAAAAACAATAGAGAGCCTTCAGCTTTTGTTTTAGCGTGTCTGGATCTACCAGGACCTCCATCAGTTCATTGTTTTATTTTTTGGGCTTGGGTCCATAACAGTCTCTGAGTTTAAATTTTTCTCAAGAACTTCCATAAAGACTTATCTCTGAACCTGAAAGTGAGAGAAAAGGTATACTGGTTGAGGTATGAACCTCAAAAGTCCTTCAAATATTTTGGTCTTTGTGTAGTGCCCTCAGACTACTTTGAAGTGCCTTAGACGTTTATGTGTACATATACATGGCTCTTGCTTA